TTTGGATTTCGCGATTTTCTTTCAACTGCTTGAAGGATGCTTCCCGCACGTTCAGCAGCTTCCCCTGATACCACACACCTACCGCAACAAAGCTACCTTAGCTCAAGCTGTTGTAAACATCTATGGGCATCAAGACTTGATGCAATCACTCAATACAATACAAAGGATCACTCCCCTCAACCCTCTCCTGCAGCTAATCGGCGGAGTCTTCTGACAAAAACATGTTTTCTTATTCCCCCTACTCGACACAGACGGCGTGAGCGCGGCATTGTCAACACAGGGTCAAACAAGAAAATATCATCGATCCCAAGCATCTCACACTCCCCACAGCCACCCACCCTCAGAGGAAACACGCCGTATTTCTCTCGCCCCACAACCGAAAGCCCCGCGAGACAAGAAGTTTTGGCACTGTCACCCTCTGTCAGGATCAGCGTGCACTCCTGGGCATACCGGCCACCTGCAGAGCAGAAGAAAGCGAGACAGAATACACAGCGCATAGCCACGCAGCACAGAAAATGCATCATTTTTTCATGATTTCCGTGCGCTGCTCCTACACATAGCTTCAGGCAACGATAAATCTGAATGCAGATGTTGAACGCCTAGCGGAGAATCTGCTCCTTGCACAGCCAATACATCCCGGGACGCGGCAAGGCAGGCACCTCTTGAACATCGGCTAAAGCCACACTGCCACGAGGGGCCGTTTCCTCCTATGCTTGTGCGCACCCTCAGTTTGAACTGTATTGCGTGAAAGAGGGAAGGATACGTGCGGTAGGTATGTATGGATAAGACAGAAACGGAAACAGTAACAGTAACTGCACTTACCCGCTTCATTTGCATCTTCTAGCTTGGAAATGCCTGTCAGCCGTTCTCTGCCCTTTGTCTTTCCTACTGACATTTGCCGTCTCAGTTCAACCTAATAAACACGCACATCCATCAGCAGTGAAGAAAACTGAATCAAACCAAAGCGAACCCCAGACCCCTGCCTGTGCCCCACACTCCATACAACCAGATCACTAGCTCCACTGGTTAACCAGTTACAGCTATACAGCTGGCAACCAAACACGCCTGTCTCAGAATGTACGGCAGCTGTACAGGCCTGCCTACCTGCGCCTTCGTTTGAGCCCATAAGAGTACCCCCTCCAGTATGGGGGATTTTGCGACGGCGTTAATTGTTCTTTCAGAAAGAGTGCACTTGCTGCCGAAGCGGGATACTGTGGTGGTTAAGGTTTCCTTAGTCTGTGAATCGAACGCGGGGTTCTCAATAAGACACTTAACAAACACCCAAAGGTGTTGCCTGAAGAAAGGGGAGTGGCACACAGTGGCACAAAGCAGCTGCACGCACGCGCGCCAGCTAGCCAGCTAGATACAGGCTGCTGAGAACCCTCAACTAGCTGTAAGCTAGCTAGATCTGTCTGTGTTCTGTTGCCGCATAGCCGGGGTAGGATGCGAGAAGAGACGGACTTGACGTGGGGAGGTTTAATCTCCATGCCTCCTTTGTTTTTTGCATTCGCTTTCTTCACCAGAGCCGCCAACA